AGTTTTGTCGCCACTTGATGAGAAAATACCTGCTGCAGAGCTGTGGATGATAGACCATAATGAAGCACTTTAAAAAAGCTATACTTTTTGAGCAGCTGAATGTGTTTTTTTACAATCTCTGCTGTTCCAAAAAAGTTAAAAAACAATCCACTGGACTCGTTTCCAAGTTTGAAGACTTTTCGCTTCCCAACCAGGAAGGTTTTTCAATTCAAAATGTCAGGAATATTGTTGAGTTCGAAGTTTTATATTGTAGCCCATCAAAGCCTTGTTTTTGTTTATAAAACATGCAATTAGAAACGGACGAACGGGTCCACCCCTTTGGAATGGGGGTCGTTTTGCTTCTTTTGTTAGCCTGCAATGCCCCATACCTGTCTAAGCGTCTGAAAGGGGGGTCATTAAAGGGAATTGTTGCCCTGGCTGAAGAGGCAAGGTTTTCTGCTCCCTTCTAAAGGGGTTGAGGTTGCGATGGTAGAGATTTTGAATTGGAAAAGCTTCCTGGACTAAAAGCGAAACGCCTTCAAACTTGGAAACAAAGTCCAGTGGATTGTTTTTTTTCTTACTTTTTTGGAATCACTATGACCTGGATGACTGAGAATCTTCACCAGCACAATCTCTGCTGTTGTTTACATAAAATATTTCCCTTCTTTTTATTATGTATGTTACCTGTTTAATGATTTTTTGTTTTACATTTTAAGTCCACACGTGTTATTCGGCACTTTAAAAGATTAATCCCAGTGGTCTGTTTATGCCCACAGAAATGTATTGAATAAATACAAATACTGTGAACCAATACTTTTTGACTTTAAATTAAAAAAAAAATCCTATTCAGCTACACAAGAATCCTCTTTAAACCCCTCAAAAATGTACAATAAATGAGAACATAACAGGTTCTTATGTACACCATAGTAATTTATCGATATGTTGCACAATGCCCTCCTTTTTGGTGCAATAGAAATGGTCTCCATAGTTCAAAGAGACAGAAGCAGAAATACAAAAGGAATTCTTCCTCGCAGCGGCTTTAAAACATAACAAACACAAGCATTTCCATCCTTGTATATTTTTTTCTTTACATTTTTTTGATCCTACTTCTCCTTTGTTAACATTCAAACTGTTTTTGTTTCTTTATCAATATATATATTTTTTTACCCTTATGTATATCTGCTTCCATTTACTTTGTTTTTGTGTTTTTGCACAACCTACAGCCAATGTAAACATTTCTTTTCAGATTAGAATATAACATTTAATCATTTAAGAGCACATCTACTAATGCAGTAATGTGTAATGCTTGTTCATGGGGTGTTACATCCAAAAAGTAAATAAGGATTTCCATTTATTCAGCTCTACCCATCACCTCTGATCTGAGCTTCTCTATTGTTTCTGAGGTAAAGCATCCCCACAGCATAATACTGCCACGGTATGGGTTGGTATGTTCAGATTTATGTAGTGTGTATCTAGCATTCATATGCAACAGTTTTCAGGCACTTAATTCATTTAAACTTTGCTCCAGGCTTTTAATTTCTAGAGCTACTTTTATCAGGCAAAGGAGTCTCTTCAGAAGCCATATTCTAATGTATTTAATGTATTATGACTGTATAAATTGAGATTAAATTACACACAGGTAGTCTTTTTAGTAATTAGACAGGGCTGTCAACTCTCACCCATTGGGAGTGTCTTCACACACTCTCACTCCATATTCCCAATTTCTTAC